CGGGGACGGGCTCAGAGAAAGAGGAGAAAGAAAAGTAGTTCTCCTGGTCGTCGGTGTCGCACACTGACACAGTGCTGTAGGGGTCCGCAAATAAATTGTACCTCCTACTCTGCTTCTCAATTCCTCGTCTCCTCTCCTCGCCGTCTCTTGCTTGCGTCTCCGCTCGACGAAATAAAGAACGAGCGTAAGAGATTCTGCCTGTATGTGAAGTCTTTTGTCTCTTTCCTCGGTTAACCCTCTCGCCTCTTTCCCTCTCTGTCTCGCCCTCTCTTTGTATCTTCTTCGTCTCACTCTATCGTGCAGACTTTTGCTAGCCTCTGTGTATCTGTAGTATGTGTGTGTGTGTGTGAGTGTGTGTGTGTTCCTCTCTCTGACCCGTTAAAATAGACAAGCCTTCTTTCCCGGCCAAAGTCACAGATATTACCGGGCGATCTTGCTGGTGGACGGTCCACGGGTATTAGCCACGGTTCACCTCCGGATTCGCGGAGCGACTCGCCTCACTTTGACTCTGCTGTTTAAACTCAGACAGACCTGTTTGGAACCCGATCCGCGGACCAGATTTACGCTCAGTGCTCTCTTGTAGTAGACGTCTCTAACGCACTTGTCTAGACGTCGTCGTCGTCATCGTCGTCGTCGGGGGAAGAAACGGCCAGTGAAATTTTTGCAAGATCGTGGATCGAGCTGTGCAACTTTTCGGATCGGTTCTCTGTGATCAGTCGTGACATCGTGGAAAAAAAAGAAGAAAAAAAGAAAAAACCTCGGAAATTACATCAGGACAGTTTGGAAAATCGTGTGAGAATTTGTTTTAGATTAATTACCCGCGATTCTTCGAGATGCTGTTTGCATGAAGATGGTACAGAGCTGAAAGTAAAACTCTCTTTCTCTCTTTGTCTCTCTCGACGGTTAATTGCATTAATTGTGCAAGGTGCACCAGTGTGGAGAAATAAGTCGCATTAAAGACAGACGCGCGAGTGTAATGATCGTGGTGGAGGGATCCGCGTTTTGCGAATCGGTTTTTATGTAATTATCCGCGGTTCGGAGAAAGTGCATGGAAGTCACTTGGAAAGTTAAGATTCCAATCTTTCAAGAAAACGCACACAGTGAGAAAATTGAGCAGAGGATGGATCGACGTTAGAGGAACAATATCCGTATTGAGAAGATAAATGCCTAGCGTCTTTAACGAGTCGTCTATTTTTTTAGTGGAGATTTGTTTGCGGTGAGGTTCATTGGTTCTTGCTCCTTTCTCCGATTGTGTGATTACGTGGAAGTGTCATAGAGATTAGTGTATTGTATTACAAAAGTACAATTCGTTATACCTTGGTAATGTTTCGTAAATTTGTAATTTTCTCGCGATTCGAAAGTGACGAATAGTTAATGGTAAATCTACTTCGGTTCAAAGACTTTTGTGTTTCGATTGATAAGACGTATCCATTTATTTATTTTTATAAAAATTCTTCGTGCTCAATTGGTTAATCTAATTATGTTACATGCACGTTTTCAAGGACTCAAAATGGTAGTTAATTTTCAAATTTACTCCATTACAGTTGACAAGTTGGGAGGTTTTAAATTTCTTTCTTATTTCTTTCCTATTATTCATCAATGAAATATTTGTAAAATTGTGATATTAGCTTTTTCGACAAGTACGTCAATTTTTCACGATTATTTACGATTATTTACGTTGAGTTGATCGAGGCCAGACCAATCTGTCGTGTTACATCAGAAGCAAAGCTTCTCAATCCCCAGAGGATGTTCTTCCCCGGTTTTCCTTAATAAATCAATCGAGATTCTTTATTATAAACATGCGGCTCGTGTGAGATGTGAAATCTTTCTTCTTAATTTTCCCGTAATCTTCGAGCGAAAATTTACTTTGGTGTTTTAAAATGAATTTCCCGGTGCAAGCAATGTTTACATTTACACGTATTCAGTGTAAGTGTGTCAGAGCAGTGACTAACGTTAATTTATTCTATCGAATGTAGAGTTCGTTACTCTGGTACGTTTGTGCTCCGAGATAGAATCGACAGTGTTTGAAGTTGAAGAATAATGAACGAAACCCGATGAATGAAAGTGTCGTGGATCCCGGTGATATCGCTTGGCGAATGGATCGTAAGATTTATAATATCCATTCTTCCAATCAACATAAATACAAAAATACAAAGTGAAAGGATACAATTGACTGAATGACGTGAAAAACATAGATACGGTTGTTTTCGTAAGAGAATCTACGTATAATAGAGTTTTAGTATAACAGTTTGTTTAATAGAACAAATTTTTAATACGCAAAAATCTCGCCGAATGAAATTGTCGCAATATGTTCAAACGTTCGTACGTAATCGACAGATTTGAGCAGACACGAAACCGACGTAATATTTGCCAGATACGTTTACTTCTCTTTTCCGAACATTCCGCCAGCTCTTTCTACTCCTCGTTTTGCTGAGATCAATCATGTGTGTGTTTTATATATATATATATGAAGCGGCGATTAAAAGATGTGCGCGATGTTCTCGACGATCTATGTTGATCGCAGCACGTCAGACGATGTGGAACAAACGGCACATAGATACTGTGTAATAAACGATCAAGGCTCGATTAGTTAGCGGAATAGGAGTTGGCCGATGTGCGTTTTAATCTGTACGAACGATGTTCTGCGATCGGACATGGTGATGCGCAAAGCATCAAAGGCTGTGATTATATTATGTAATTGGCAATCGATGTAAATTTTTTAAATTCCTCTTTCTCTTTCTTGACGTTAATAATAATATGGATTTAATTGCTTGTTAAAGCGTAATTTTAGATATATAGAGAGCTCAGAAACCAACTTGCCAAATTTTTGTCAAAATCTTCAGTTCATTCTAATATAATTACTATGATATAATCATTACAACGTTGTATCTAATTATTCGATTAATTGACGATTTTAACAATGAAAGTTGCACGACGCAAGTCATTTTTAAAAATCACTCCCACTGATTGACTTCTGAGCTCTCGATATATCAGATTAAAAAGAAACAAAAATATAAAACACGAAAAGAAGAAGAAACGGGAGGAAATAGAGAAAAAAAAAAGTTTTCTAATTCTCGTCCAATTTTATATTTGGAAGTGAACTCGCGCGTCGCGTCGCGTCGCGTCGCGTCGCGATTTCTTTTCACTGCTAATATCGATGTTGACAATTCCGTTTCGCCTCATCTCAGTCGATACTGAAAACCTCGCGGCCGAGAGAAATTCGTTCGAATAATGTCGAGTGGACCATCGAACTCCAAAAATAATACAACACCTTAGGCGCGACGGCGTGCCTACGAGCGGAACTAGGTCGCAAGTTCATCAGTGCTAATTATTATTAATCAGGAAATCTCGGCCCGCCGTGAAATTCCCGCGGATTTGCATACGTAATTGCAAGGCCATCGAAATAATTATAATTGGAGCGGCCTGTTGTCGAGATATTACGCACGAGGCAAACAGTTCATTTTATTCGGAGATGATTGATTCGTTGCTATTTGACAGTGACAGCACGGTGCTGCGAGAAGATTTCTCGTTGTTGTTCCGCTTGTTCGAGATTTATAGAATTTTAATTCCGCTTCCGGGTAAATGAAGAGAAAAATAGTACACCAGCGGCAAATTTTCTAATTCGAAAGGAACAAGGCACAATCCTATTTTATAAGTCTCGATTTTCTATTGAATTTTTCTCTTTTCTTTTTCGCCGCTATATCCACTGTATTCCCTATTTTTGTTTCTTTTCGTTTCACGCTTATATCTCGCCAGTCTAGCCTACCCCGAGCCAACCACGTTTCATTTCTTCGACAAAGGTGGCCCCGCATGTATAAATATTGCCAGAAAATTCGATAATTTAACGACAGCAACCAAGCCAGAAAAACGCGGTCCTTGTTGTGTTCAGCCCAGCGTGGAACGAGTTACACGATTGACCTCCTGGTCTTGTATCGAATCATACATACACGTTGCTCGGAGAGCAGTAAAAGCGGCGCTGGAACACCGCGATCGAGGACCGGCCGAAGGTGGAGAAAAGGTCGACCTCTCGCTTCAGTAATCGCGCATCGTTTGTCGAGAGAAAATTGATGGGAACCTTCAAGGATCTCGCAGCTCTCTTGCTTATACTTTGGCTCTTGATCGATGCAATTTTTTTTTTTTTCTTACCAACTTCGTATATAAATTGGATTCTGACGAAGTTCTTCTCCTTCGATTTTCGTGTCACGATCCATTGACGCTTTTGCGATGAACTTGCCATTCTAGTACTGGCCGAGATTTTGACCCTCTTTCACTGAATTCGGTTATTCTCGTTTCTCGAAAGTGTTCGAAGTTGTCGGAAAAATAGATTTTATCTAAATATTTTTTTTTTTTTTTTATTATTTTTACGATATTCATAAGTATTATTTATTTGGTATTATTTTGCAATTATTTCACTTGAGCGTGAATATATACGCAAGCGAATGTGTCGGAAACATGTGATAGAACAAATGGTAATATCGATCGATTGGTGGTATTTATGAGGTCAGATGAAACACTAGGAAGCGCGGCAAGAAATCGTAGCGGAGCATCCGTCGCGTTAAAATAGACATCCTGGAACTCAAATGTGCTACGGTCCTCGGTACATCTACTCTACTTTAACATAGTACACGAGGTCGCTAAATGTATCATCGCACGTATATTTAGGCTATACTGTCATCGGCGTGGCTCGATTTAAATTTCCTAGCTGTATTTACCATTTTATGATCGATTACATTTTCAAGTTTTCTTCGATATCACGGCCAAGGAATGTCTTGTCTGTTTGCCTTCTGTCCATTTTAATTTTCTCGCGTTACTTGTCAATTATTTATAATTTCTATAAATATAATTAATAAATAAATGAATTCAATTACGGACACCTATGTATTTATAATTATATTTCTACAAATTTATAATTCGTAGAAATATAATTATAAAATATATGTATATGTATATACATATATAGGTGAGTTATGACGACAGGATTCTGATCGATCCAATGATATTTTCACTCGGAGCGAAGATACGTTAAGTAATCGTATTTTTTTCAACCAACCATGATTTCTCAAAATCATGTGTCGTTAATCATTCGTCAGTCGGCGTGAAATTAAAGTTCAGCAAACAGTGGATTGTCGCCCGGTGTTATCTGTTTACAGCGTGAACTCACTCACAGTCGCTTGCTAAATATACTGTTCGTGAGATCATGTATAATTACGTACATGTGTTTCTTAACAAGCTTGAGAAACGCTTCTTACCAGATAGTGATCATCGATAACTGTAATTCGGTAGCAGTCGTCTTTTGTCGCGTCGCAAGTGTATCTGCTGAAAGAACCAGAGAATCAGTCGGCTTGCTTTTGTATAGAACGAAACATCAACTATGAGTGACAGCTTCATCTAATTTGTCAAGCTGTGCAATGTGTCTCGTTAGTTGTTGGTACAATGTGAGAAGAACTCGGTTGTGTTTGGAAAACATCAGTGAGACAATGAACACCCATTGTGATATCCGTGTTTCGAGGATCCATCGTGGTCCGTAATGCGGAGCTAGTTTTTCAAAGAGATGCCACAGTACGACGATAGTTTCCTCGACTCGCCGATCTTCCGGCGACGCACGCGTAGCTATGCGGTGCAAAAGGAGTTCGTGCCGAAGTCGAAGAGTTTCATCACGGCCACACCTCTGCTGCTGGCCGTGACCAATCATGCCAGGACTCTTTCCGGTTCCATATCGACCTGCAGTTTGAAAGGTAATTGGAAGAAAAATTCAGGTTAAGGGCATAACACATTCTCTGTCGCTCGAATAGATTAAAACGAGCCTCTTTGCAGTCGAGAGACGTTTTCTTTTCCATTTCTTTGCAGCTCGACGAAATTCGGTCGCGCGATTTCGCTCGATGGTTTTCTTTCTCTGTTGTAATACTCTTCGATCAAGCGAGCAAAAAGAGGAATATCGATTAATTCGTTCATTTGTGGAGAACATATCCGAAAATTCCACGTTAAACGTGAACTGATATTGTGGAAAATCTATAAATTGTTTTAAACCTCTTAATTGCTTTAACTTAATTGCGCTGGAATAACGTATCACGCACGTCGAGAATGTTTTGTCCCAAAAATTGCAATATTTTCTCAGTTTCAAGTACATTTAAGTAAAACAAAATAGGCAAAACAAATAATAAATTTATTACTTTTCAATCATTTTTATCCAATGATATCATACCGACGAGTTCAAAAAGAAAACGACGAATTATTGTATATTATTATGTACCGTTCGGTCACTCGTTATGGTCCGCAATCAGTTGCCAGCGCAAGAGGTTAACCTCCAAAATTGCAATATTTTCTCAGTTTTAAGTACATTTAAGTAAAACAAAATAGGCAAAACAAATAATAAATTTATTACTTTTCAATCATTTTTATCCNAGTGATATCATACCGACGAGTTCAAAAAGAAAGCGACGAATTATTGTATACGGTTCGGTCACTCGTTATGGTCCGCAATCAGTTGCCAGCGCAAGGGGTTAACCTCCAAAATTGCAATATTTTCTCAGTTTTAAGTACATTTAAGTAAAACAAATAATAAATAATAAATTTATTACTTCTCGATAATTTCTATCCAGTGATATCATACTGACGAGTTCAAAAAGAAAGCGACGAATTATTTGTAGTGTACGGTTCGGTCACTCGTTATGGTCCGCAATCGGTTGCGAGTCATAACCTTCGAGTACGATTGATTTCAATAGAATGCGTTTTTCGTGGAATATTCGCGTGGAAACGTGGCGTGTAAACGCGTGACCGAAACGCCTCTCAAATACATATCTGTTAGAATAATTTAAAGTTAGGATAACCATGTTACAGAATCGAGTTTGGACGTATGAAATACGCCAGCCCCTTCAGACACCGCGCCACTGGCGCACTGCATGTGAAAGCAATTCGGTTGTTAATTACCCATTCGTGCTGTCAATCATATTAAGCATCGCTGGTAGCCACCTTCAGCTATTAATACACCTCTCTTGGCGCGGTGTATACACTATAATGTTCCATCCCCTACGGTTTTGTATAAGATATACAGAAGCTGATGATTTCCCCCTAGGCTAGCAATGCGCTACAAATTGCTTGTATTCTACCATTGAGGCATATCTCTATATTTCTGAAAATATATCTACGGACAAATTATAACAATACTTAGTGAGATTTCGCGAAAAGTCGGTTCTCGATTTTCGAACTCTACACACGAAAATCCGAGATTCCGATTTCGGTGAATGTACGCGCGAATGATATCGCGAAATTTTCGTCCCTCGATAGGAGAAATTTCCACGGAGTTGTTCATAAATACGCAGATTCAGGCGATTACTATGCGAACCAGCAGCGTTTACTCGCGCGAGAGGGCCGGACATTAATAAACATGAGGTACGACGCGCGGTAATTAGTGCAACGATAAAGTGTACCGATGTCCAGCCGAAAATTAAACCGTACTGGCCGAAATTTGTTTTGAGAGTACGCAGCGGCACGCAATGCGATTATTTGCGGGTCACACGCTGTTTAAGCGGATTCAACCGCCCGAGGGGGAGTTTTGAATTGAGGTTTGAGTATGATGAACTGAAAGTTTGAATCGGGGTTTTGAATATGGTATTAGGTTGGCGTATCTCGATTGTCATAGTCGGAAATTAACATAGTGTGGATATCGCGCTTTCAGTCTCATCTGATTCGTTAGAAATCGTATTTTTTTATCCAAAAATTTTTGAAATTGTCAATTCTTTTCGAATGTAAAACTTGGTCGATTGTTAATATTATACCATAGTTCCATTTTCTTGTAATTATTTGAGGTTAATTCGAAAAAAAGGTATTATAATTCAATAAAGAATTCTAAATAAATATATAATAGCTGGTCTATAATAAATAGCCGAATCAGTTCATTTGTATTTATGATTAATAAGAGTAAGAGCTGCAAATTTATCAAGATACTTTTTCCGGTATTCAAGTTTTATCTTCACCCTCTTTTGAAACGAATGTATTCCTAGAGAAAAAAAGAAAAAAAGATTCACTCGACGAGGTATGTAATCTGCATCCATGGAGATCGTTGTAGCCGACGCTCTCATGAATAAAAATTTTCTGTATGAAATAATAATCGTGAATGTACCGAAAGAAAGCTGGATTCCTTTTGACGGAGACAAAATAAGTATTCGAAAGATAATTGAATAAATGATTCAACGAGGCTAATGGGAACGACATCGTTTCTTTCAACAACGTTTCCTCACTCGTCTATTTTTTTTCCTCTCTCTTCTCTTCTCTTTGTTTTGAATATTAAATCTTACGTCAATATCGCTATATCGCGAATACGTGAAATTTCCAAAGAGAGATGTATATCTTCATTTCAAGTTTCGTGCAAATGGACCGGTGGTTTTGTTCAATGGAAAAATCCGCGGGGATTATCCTCATTCCACGGATTATCCAGAGCTTCTTTCATATAGGAGATTGAAGTACCACCAACTGAAAATAATTTTTATTCCAGACTTGAAAGAAGAGAAGAAAACCCGTGTTAATTCAATTTCTTACAATGTCTCTTTTCTATTTAGATATTTTCACGATTGTTCGACAATAATTTTACTTAAAAATATAGAATGAAGGAGATATACAGCGATTTACACGATTTTCATATTGCAGGGTATATAAGATCACGTAATAATTCCGATGAAAATAATTTTATAAGACGATCGATAAGTCAACTTTGAGACAGAGCAGTGAAATTCGTCTCCGCGTTTTGTCTTTCATCCATGGCGAGTGAATTTGTTACGTTCAATAGCAATTTGTTGTTCGGGTGATCATGAATCATGCGTTTCCCTCGTACACGAGGATTTAACGCGTCAAGCAGAATCGCAGGAGGGAAGGCAAGTCTGTTTTACGAGGGTGGCCGTACGCGCCGGAGGGTGTAAACCACTACTTAATCAAGACGTTATACGAGAGTTCTCTTTGCGAGAGTTTTCAACCTCTCTTGCCCCAGGGATTGGTCACCCCTTTTTAGCATCATCGATCCTCGATAGATAAAAGGCTCGAAACTATTTGGATACAAATTGTTACGTGCAGCTTCGCGATACACATCAATCTCTTTTTCAACGAATCCATTGCTCTTTTTTTGTTCTTCTTGAAAATCCATCGCGATTATGATTGTGATGGTTAATCCAATCATATACTTGTCAGTAATTAGAAGTTACTTGCATGGTACATGGTTCATGGTTCAATGATATACCTTTCAGTAATTAGAAATTACTTGCATGGTGAGCGGAACGGTTATTACGAATTCGCTTGCGAAAATTTGTTCGTCGAAATAAACGCGCGGCAAATGCATTCGTAGAGAGAGACACAATGGCGGCCTCTCTTCGCGAGAAAGTAATCAAATCTCGACCTGTGTTGCTGCGCGGGGCTGGAGGAAGAAGTTGGTCGTTTAATGCATATTGTGCTCCGGTAAAAGCGAATTTGACGTACTTTCGTGTGTGTGTGTGTGTGTGTGTGTGTATTTGGTAAGTTCCGCCCGTAAATCTCAAGACACAGATCAACGGTGACTCTTTACAACGTCTCTTCCTCTCCAACGTGTCTGTGTCTGTCGCCCTTCGGCTCTCCTCGGTAGCCAAAGATGACAAGAAATCCGCTTTCGACGCGAAAGGGGCTTAACGTCGTCGCACCGATAAATTTCAGGCGAAAAGCGCTCGAATATTTCGCTCGGCAAAGTGCATTCACGCGCCTGCCTGCGGGGCAAGCGTCTCGCTAACGTGTCAGCGAGGTTCGATAGGTTGCCACGAGGGTGGAACACGTTGCCTCCCGCGCATATATAGTGAAACAGCTACCATTTCCAAAATACTTTTTCGTCCGCGAGCAATTTCTTTAAGGGCGGCAGGACAGTTTGACGGGCCTAAAAATTACGAATACTTTGGAGTGTTAGTAAAGAAAACAGTACATATCTGATGGACATGAGCTTTTATGGTTTATTTTAACACATTAGGAACTATAAAACAAACTCTTGTTTAACTTTTTTAACAGCATTCTTTTACGTAACTTTTTTTTACATTGCCTATCGGTGTGCATGATATCAGAATTAGCCAAATAGAATTAGCTGCAACAAAAAGGCAACAAATGTTCAAAAGTAAACAATATTCTCTAGGGATTGACGATCCAACATTTTCATATTTGTGAAAATTATGGGAATAGCGGCTATTTGTTTTCGATGTATCGAATTTATGCCAAAAACTTCCACGGTTTTTGTTCATACTTTTCGAAATTGTTAAAAATTAAAAAATGTTCGATCGTCAATCCCTAGAAAATGTTACGCTAAATACACGTACCAAGTTTCACAGTAATCGATTGGTTAGATTCCGAGATATCTTGCACACCGTTTCTAAAAACCTAGTTTCGAGAAAAACGCGTTTAAAGTTTCAGAACGTCATTTATCATATGTATCCTTTACTTACATTTTTTACTTATATACCGCGGCTCGAAGTTCTTCCAAATCTCCTAGTATTCGATTCACCAAAAGTAATATTTGAATCACACGATTTACACTTTATAATACTGCTTAAAATTGTAAACAAGTGATGCAAATTAAATTATCCGCAGATTTATTATTATACCCCAAAATAAGTCGTTTTAAAGGCTAGGACCTTTTGTATCTTATTTCTAAGACTTCAAACTACTATTTAAAACAAAACAAAGAAAAAAATCGATTCTTTGAAGATTTCAAACTCTCCTAATCCCTTAAATAGCA